AAACTTTAAGCACTATATAAATGCCACTTATTATTTAGGCACCCGAGATTGGATTCTTCTGGCCTAGGTGAACCAGCTTAGGGCAGTTAAGTGTTCTTGTTTTGTTTCCTCACTTATCTTGGGTTTTGATTTTCTCATTCATTTTTGTCTCTTTCTTTCCAATCTAAAGATCTTTCTCCTTTAAAGAAGATGTATAATATTTGTATAATACCTGAAGGTTTACAGACCACTTCCCTCATAACAAGTCTGTGGAATAGGCACTCACATTCTTCTCCCCACTCAACAGGGAAGGAAACTGGCACTCGGTAAGGTTGAATGACTTTTTTCTGTTGTCACACAGTCAACAAGCATTTGTTAAACTTTTACCATGTGCCAGACAACTGTGCTAAGCTCTAGGGATACAAAGAGAAGCAAAAATATAGTCCTTACCCTCAAGGAGCTCACATCCTAAAAGGGGAAACATATACAAATAACTATGTGCATACAAGGTATATACAGGGTCAATGGTAGGTTATCTTAGAAAGAAGACACATCATAGCTGAGAATAAAAGACAGGCCTCATAAGGCCAGGTCCAGTTTTCTTTCAAGGAGTTCACAGGTCTAATTAAAACAGAAAGTGAGCAGGTCTGCTTTTTCAATGTCATGGGTGTGTCATTTGCTCTATCTGGGGCCTGAGCAAACAGATGAGCCCTAAGAGGCAAGGGCAACTGTGCTCCTATATTGATTCATTATTGAAGGGAAGAATGTCTACACGTGGAAGCAGCAAAGCCTCTCCACCTTGGTGACATAACAATCTGAGAACTGCCACCATAGGAACCCTAGAATGGCCATTTGAATAGTCTGTTAGCAGTCATTGCATCGTGCTAGTGGTAGTGGAAAGCAGGTCAGGCTCATCTAAGTGAGCATCAGGAGCTTTTCCTTTTTCCAGAAGCACCACTCAAGGAATACAGCAAATTACGACAAGGTCCTAGAAGCCTCTACTCCCTGTGGTCTTGGGTTTCTTACCCTCTACTTCTCCCTTTGTGGGTTTGTGGAGCACCCTGGTATTTCTTCTTGAGAGTTTTGAAGCCCAGCGAATTGTTGCTGTCTACACAGGAACTAAGAAAGTACGAATTACTGGTAGGAGCCCTGTTTCTTTTTGGGTAGAGAGTAGGGGTAATCCAGAAGCATGGTCTGGTCCATAAAGTTCCTGGACTCTATTGACTCAGCTTGTACCTATCTCTGTCCATGGGTAGAAGGAAGGGACAAGCATGTATTAAATATTTACTATGAGTCAGGCACTAGGCTAAGTGCTTTACAGATACGAACTCATTTGATTTGCACAACAACCATGGGAAGTTGGTGCTATTATTATCCCTATTTTACAATTGAGAAAACTGAGGCAGCCAGAGGCTAAGTGATTTGCCCAAGGTCACACCTTAGATCTTCCTAACTCTAAGCCTAGCACTCTCTCTATCATGCCACCTTGATGCCATGGGAACCTGTACTTCTTAAAAAGAAGGAAGTAGTCCTTCACAGGCCTTAAGCACTGGGGCTGTTCCTCCTTTGTTCCCTCTTCCCCAATATAGCCTTTTTTTCCCTCTGTAAGTACTTTCCCTTAGGACTTTTCAAAAGCCTGAGCCCATTAAGAGCTTTTAGCCTTCCTAACACCATTCTCTTTTTGTTTTAAAACAATCCTGGGTTATATGTCCTCACTTCTGCATTTCATTGTGTGTGTTTTTAAAATCTTTACCCCTACCAGCAAATAATCATAAAGACCATTCCACTGAGTTCTGGTGATACCTGTGAAATTTTATTTATAGCTGAGCTTAACATAACAAGTTCATTGGTTTATCTATCACACTCTGTGCATTGTTATATAGATGTTTAAGGCAAGGAGCATAATTTATATTTCTCTTCCTGATGGGAGAGAAAGACAGAGACAGAGTGAAAGACAGAAAGATACAGAGAGAAAAGACAGAGAAAGATAGTGAAAGACAGAGAGAGGAAAAAAAGCAAAAAGAGTGAAAAGACAGAGAAAGAAAAAGAGAAAGAGAGAGAGAAAGAAAAAGAAAGAAAGAAAGAAAGAAAGAAAGAAAGAAAGAAAGAAAGAAAGAAAGAAAGAAAGAAAGAAAGAAAGAAAGAAAGAAAGAAAGGAAGGAAGGAAGGAAGGAAGGAAGGAAGGAAGGAAGGAAGGAAGGAAGGAAGGAAGGAAGGAAGATACCTATCCTTTTTCATGTACTTAATCAGGTTTAGAAGTTTTATCTGAACATTTTTCTCCTTCTCCATGCCATTTTCAGTTTAAAATGTATATTGATCCAATCAGATCTCCAAGGAAATGGCTTCATTCCTATGAGCTTCATTAGATTTAGCCATGCTATTACAGGATTATATGAGGATCATGCCATGAGGATATATATTTGAAGTCATCTAGCTCAACTTGATTATTTTCTAGATGAGGAAATTGAAGGCCAGAGAGAATAAGTGATTTTCTAAGGTCAAAGAGTAGAAGAACCGAGATTCAAACCCAGGTCCTCTGACTCCCAAACCCTGTGCTCTTTCCACAATGCTATGCTTTCATGGCCAAATGCTCTTCATTCTAATGCCTTAATTCATGGTCCAGGAAGCAAAATCCCATTCATTGACATCATTTTAGTTCACTTTAAACATCTTTCTTTCTCTTCTAAAGTCCTCACCTTCAATTCTGTCAGAAAATCTTCCCAAAACATTGCTATTGTACAAGACACTTTCCTACTCAAAAGCTTTGAATGGCTTCCTCTATTTGAGAAATAAAGTCCAAACTTCTTAGCCTGGCACACAGTCCCAAACACTCTGGATTCAGTTTTATGTATCTCCAACCCAAACTAATACTTCTCTAGTCTCATTGATCTCCAAATGGGCATTGCATTTCTGCCTCCATCTTTGCTCTTCTCCTTGCCTGGAATGCCTTTCCTTCCACTCATCTGATCTAAATTTCCCTTATACTCCTCTAGTCAGGCCACATTTGGAGTTCAGTTGGGTTCAGTTCTTTGTGCCAAGTTCCAGGACATAGGTTAACATATGTGTGTACCTCTAGAAGACAGTGATCATGAGCTTCAAAAATTAGTTGAAGGAACTGGGGATTTTTAGCCTGTGGCAGAGATAACTTAAGGTAGATTGTCATTTTCTACAGAAGTAGGAGTAATCAGTGAAATGTGCAAGGGTTCACATTTAAGGGGAAATTTCCTGACAATTAGCTGTCCAAAAGTGGCATGTGCTACATGGGGAGGTATTGGGTTTTCCCATCACTAGAGGTGTTTAAGCAGAGGCTAGATGACCGTCCATTGTTGATACTGTGAGGGGGATTCACATTCTAGCGGGGATTGGGCTAGATGGCCTTTCAAACCCATTACAGCTCTAATATTTCATGTTATCTATTCTTCAAGACCCAGCTCAAGTCCTCACTTCTTCATGAAACTTTATTTGACTGTCCTAATATTCTGTGATCTCTTCCTCTTCCAGACTTCTCTGGCATTATCTGTACCCATTCATTTGGTACTTCATAGATACTATGTTGTATTTTTATTAAAATCTTTTTATGCTTATTTCCTGGTTTCCCCACCTACAAAGAGGCTGAAAGATAGATAGAGAAATAGCTAGAGATAGATACACACATATATGTACATATATAATATTATATATGTATATTTATACATATATATAGTATCTCAAATAAATATGTATTGTATCTCAAACACTTGTATCTTGATGAAATACAGCATGACATAGTATATAAGAACTTTCCTTGGAAGACTGGAAGACCTAGGCTTTAGACCTGCATCTGGCAGGTGCTAGCTATGTGACTCTGGGCAAGACTCTTAAATTTTCTGTGCCTTGGGCTATTCTTGAAATCAATGAGTTACAAATGAGTTGCTACAGCACAGCTATGGTAAAGGACGTTTCCATGTCAGGAGTCCCCTACATGATGAAATCAGAAGTCTAGTCCAAAAAGAAAATCCCCAACACATAGCATAGTGTACTATGTTTTCATGCAGAAGATGCTCAATAAGTATTTGTTACTGATCATAGTCATGATGACAAAGCCATCATACTCCAGATCCACAAGCCCTCTTCCCTTTCTTTTGTCATATCTACCTAAGCTCTACTTATTCTGGCACACCAAATCTCACAAAAGCTAATCCCAGTCCACCCAAATTGGTTTATTCACCAAACATTTTCCTCTTCTCTTGTGATGGTATTAATTCTTGACATTCATTCATGTCCACTTCCTTCTTCCCCATTTTAGACACCACCATCCTTACACCCAACTCCAACCCTAGTCTCACTTCCCTTCATGTTATAAAGAAATGTCATATAAGACACAGAGAATCAGAGAATCCTGGATTTAGAAGGACCTTTCTTTAGAAAAAGCATCTAGATTTATTCTCTACCTTTTGAACTTTATACTTTGAACTCTTGGGTCCTCTTTCACCCCTTCACTCATTCACTATAGTTAACAGAAATGGACTCTTCCTTCAAGATTGCCAATTGTTTTGGGAATTTTTTGTAGTTGCAGTGCAAAAGAAAAACATTTCTTGAAAATTTACCACTTTTACCCCTCCTCCTCCCTGGAGTTCTTACTTGATTGGACCAAACTTAAGAAAGAGGCACAAACACTCAAGTTTTTCCATGAAGAAAATTACAGTTTGTGTTGCTTCTTCCCCCAGAACCTAAATCCATTTTCTAAAGATTCCTCAAGCTGTCCATTCCTGTCTCTACTCCACTGTACCACTAATACAAGGATAACATCATTTGGAACTGAAAGGGATCTTAGACATTAACTCTATTTTTATAGGTAAGGAAAAAGAGGCCCAGAGAAATTGATGTGACTTGCCAAAAGTCACACTGGTAGTAAGTGACTAAGCCAGGATCAGAACCTCAGGCTTTGACTCCAAATGCAATGTGTCCTCTGTCATAACAAAAAACCTATGTCCCCAAAAAACTATTATGTCTGCCACTGCTGCTTTCTTCTTGTCTTGCAGGAGTATCATGGAAATCCTCCAACACCCTGTCCATTTGGATTACTTCAAGGAATTCCTTAGAATAAACCATGCTGAGAATCTACTGAATTTCATCCTTGCCATGCAGAAGGCCAGTAGTGAACCCAATGAAAAATTACAGAAAATTCTCATTGATGCCATCATCAAGACTTTCTTCCATAACAAAATTAATGTTGGTATGAAACCCCAACCCAGCCCCCACCTCATAAGTTTCTCTCCAAATTTCTTCGAATGGGCATGGAGTTCTCCCAATACTTTCCAAATACGGAATTCTGCAAGAAGGGCTTATGATCCAAGTTGTATATCTCTTAATGTCTACAAGTTCACTAAGTCCAGGAAAGGAAAATGTCTGTTGATCACATAGACAGACTATCACCATGTACCACTGGGATAAGGGGCTATGTGTAGGGATTGGGGCATTGAGAGATGAAGTTTGAGAGGAGAGGCAGACAGGAAAGGAAGAGACATGTGGTGAAAACTCAATGAATGTCAAGCAAAGAAACTTTGGTTTAATATGTTGAGTACCATGCTGGCTCTCTTAGACATGTTCCAAAGGTAATTGGGACAGTCTCAGAGAATTCCTTGTCAAGTACAACTTGAGCTATCTCTGAATTTCTTTGTCATAAAAGACTCAACCGTATAAGAAAACTGGTCCCTATTGCCAACAAGGTATTGAGCATATAAAACACCAGAAAGGCAGAGGAAATGCATGCTCACTATTCTGCTATTTTAGCCACTTGCCATTGGTTAATATATTGAAATACTTGGAGACATGCTGACATTGGGGAAGTTTCTTGGATAGCCCAGATAATCTAACTTTCCTGAACCCCAAAGGCTAACTTGATTCTAAATCCCACTCCACAAATAATCAAATTTTCCAAAGGAGAACATAGTTAAATCTAGCCTAATTATCTATAAACAGCAGTCATCACTCTTCCTTCTCCTTAAATATCTCATAAAATGGTAGCATAATACAGCTCAGCTACAACAACCTTGCCTTCCCTAGCTATGATGCTAAGATAGCTCAGCTGCTTCTGGTTCTGCTACTCTTCCTAGTCATGGTACTACTTTTATTCTTTTCTACAGTCTCCTTCCCACACATATAACAAAACTAGCTATGGACCAATATCTCACACTTTACATCAAAATAAGTTCAAAATAGATATATGATTTACATACAAAAGATGATACCATAAGCAAATTAGGAGAGCATGAAATAGTTTACCTGTCAGATCTAGGGATAAAGGAAGAATTTAGGACTAAACAAGGTATAAAGAATATTACTAGATGTAAAATGGATAATTTTGATTATTTTAAATTTTTAATAGTATTTAATTTTTTTCCAATTACATGTAAAGACAATTTTAACATTTTTTTTAAAATTTTGAGTTTCAGATTTTTTTCCCTCCCTCTTGCCCCCTCCTTTCCTAAAAAAGGTAAGAATTTTAAATGTTATATATGTGCATTGATTATATTAAAATAAAAAGGGGTTGCACAAACAAAACCAATGCAGCCAACATTAAACAGAAAGCAAGAAACTGGGGGGAAAGTTTACAGCCAGTATCTCTGATAAAGTCCTCATTACTAAAATAGACAGCTGAGTTAAATTTATAAGAATATATGTCATTCACCAATTGATAAATGGTCAAAGGATATGAATAGGCAGTTTTCAGACAAAGAAATCTATAGTCATATAAAAATATTCTAAATCACTACTAATTAGAGAAATGCCAACTAAAACAACTCTGTGGTACCACCTCACACCTCTGACTAAGATGTCAGAAAAGAAAAATAATAAATGTTGGAGGGGGTGTGGGAAAACTGGGACACTAGTGCACTGTTGGTGGAGCAATTTGGAACTATGCCCAAAGGGCTATAAAACTCTGCATCCTCTTTGATCCAGCAATACCGCTACTAGGTCTGTATTGCAAAGAGATGGAAAAAAAAAAGGGGGGGGTGGAGAACCTATTTGTAGAAAAATATTTATAGCAGCCCTTTTTGTGGTGGCTAAGAATTGGAAACAGAAGGGAATTAGTCAAGGAACAGCTAAACAAGTTGTGGTATATCATTGTGATGGAATATTATTGTGCTATAAGAAATGACAAGCAGGATAATTTCAGAAAAGCCTGGAAAGACTTAAATGCACTAATAAAAAGTGAAGTGAGCAGAACCAGGGAACATTGTATACAGTAAGAACAATATCATACAATGAAGAACTATGAATGACTTAGCTATTCTCAGCAATACCCAAGACGAAACCAAAGGACTCATGATAAAAAATGCTATCCACCTCCAGAGAAATAACTGATGTTGTCTGACTGCAGACTGAAGCATACTATTTTTTCCTTCCTTCCTTCCTTCCACCTTTCCTTCCTTTTTTCCTTCCTTTCACCTTCCTTTCACCTTCCTTCCTTCCTTCCTTCCTTCCTTCCTTCCTTCCTTCCTTTCTTTCTTTCTTTCTTTCTTTCTTTCTTTCTTTCTTTCTTTCTTTCTTTCTCTCTTTCTTTCTCTCTTTCTTTCTTCCTGTCTTCTTTCACAAAACTACTGAAATGGAAATGTTTTACATCATTGCACACGTACAACCCTTATCAGATCGCTTACCATCTCAGGGAGGGGGATAGCAGGGAAGGAAGAATAGAATTTGAAACTTAAAACTTTTTTAAAATGTTAAAAATTTTACATGTAATTGGGGAAAATAAAATACTTAAAAGAAAAAAAAAGAAAAAAGCAGAGTACCCTCTATCAGGACAAGAGTGAAAACAAGAGTAGGTAGAGATTTTTGTGATGTGATGACTGATGCATCTTTCAGATTTAAAATATCACCCATCAATTTCTCATAATGCCTTTTTAATTAATTAATTTGATTATTATTTTTCCAAAAAGCTGGGACAATTTAATTTTTGTCCTGTGCAGTTTTCATTTATGGTTTCTTGAAATAGAGCTCAGAAAAACAGGCTTCTAAAAAGCCCATTGTGTTTCGAATGGAGCTACCTGACTATGCATTTAAACCCAAATCACTTTGGCTTTCACTGAATGGTTAACAATAGCCCCCAGCCCAAAGCTCAGAGGCTCATTGTTTAGGGTTTGATGGCTTAGAATAAGTTTAAATAGCCATTGTTTTCAGTTCTAGCCCCAAACTCTGAGGGTCTTCCCCTCCCAGATTGATACTTTTGTGATGGTAAATAAGGCCATCTTTTATCTCAGTTCTTACCTAGCTCTTAGTCATTGAATGGGCATTGCCTCAGATAAACTGAGACTTGAAAAAGACTTAATTTAGAAAGGCCATTGTCAGTTGTCTTGACTTATGTCTTGCCACTGGACTTTGATGACTCTAGAGGAAAAAATGAGGCTGATAACTTTACACAGCTCTGCCTCACTTAAATCCTATCCATGTGCAAGTCAAAACATCACCCTCAGGATGTTATTGGTCCCCTTCTAGAATCCAGGACAACAACAACGACAACAAATGCTAAGTACTTAGTTGTCCATTTGCAATCAAGAGATAGCCTGAGGTATCCTCTAGGAGACAACATATGTCTCTGAATTGAAGGAATGATAGAAGCAGAAAAGATACACGGTTATCTAGTCAGACTGGTGTGAAGAAGACAGAAAAGGAGAAGGCATATAGTTCCAAAAAGACAGATTTCCAAGAGAGGGAAATTTAGCCGATATTGAATACAGGTGGGTCAGAAAGTCATAAATGGGATACTGGATGGTGAATTGGCTCACCTTGTATGACTACATGGCAGTATATTAGTCAAAGAGATCTCAGTCAGACTTATCTGCTAAGCTGGACGAAACTATATCCTCACACTTAGCTACTGGAGTAGAATTCCCTACCTTAGAGTTCCCTCATACCCTGAGTAAAGCCATTTCAAGTTAAAAAGACTTGAAGAGAGAACATGCAGAATAATAGAAGAGTCCAGGTGTTAGGAAGGTATGACATTTAGAAGGTGTGAGAGACATAATTTCTGGGTAATTAATAATTTTATCAATAATACTAGTACTTTATTAATAAAAAGAATGGTCATTTGGCTGTCTTTCTTGGACCAAAGATGACTCATGATGGTGGGCTCAAAATTTGTAAGAGTCGGTGTTCCTGAGGGCAGCAATCAACAAGGAATTGGGGGGGGGGGAAGGAGAGAATATTACAATGAGAAAGTGGACCCATTTCAATAAGGGACTAGGGGATGTAACTTTTTGTCATTTACTTCTAAATTGCCAGCCCTTGGCCAATCCATTCAAAGAATGTATATCCCCCACCCAAGCCTGAGCAGAACACAATGGGCTGGGAGTTTCACCTTCCATCAAATTTCTGGTAAGGTAGAGAGGGATCTGAACAAGATGGAGAAGAGAGTTAATTCAATGTCATTATCATTAATGTCCTTCAGAGACTGAACTTTGAAATAAAGACTTTAGAAAAAGGGGAAAACTATGGATCTCCCCAGATCATTAGTTATTAATATTCATTTCTCTCAGAGACCTGGAGTCAAGTCCCACCTTGGACACATACTATTCGACATTAGGCAAGTTGCTCAACCTTTTAGTATCTCAAGCATGTAAGATCCTCTAAGTTACAGATGAGTTTCTGATTTCCCTCGGTGGAGAGCTTTTCCCGACTGGTATTTCCTTACATTGATGAAATCACAGGCCCTGATCCTGCCATACCTTTCCCCACCTCAAAAGAAAAAAAAAAAGTCAAAGTGAATGCTAAGGGAATTCAGAGAAAAAAAGTAATTGAACTAGAGTGGAAGTAAAGGTTAGGAAGGTCAAAGGTCAAGGGGGGATGTCTCACATGAGAAAGCAAACCATAGCATTTACCTATGAGAAAAATATGGTGTTTCCTGATTTCCTCCTCTTCCTTTGTATTTTACAGAGGATATCCTACAGTGTACTTCCCCTATCCTCAAAGAAATTTCTCACATGCGCCGTGTTCCTTTAGCAATGTTGATACAGGCCCAGAACCAAGTCCTGAAATATCTAGAAGAAAAATGGTAAGTAGCATGGGCTGAAGAGATGCATTCATATAATATTTGTTGGCTTCATTAAGTCATAAGGTCATAGAATCTATTCCCATTGCCAAGTTATACCTCATTGTCTTATCTCAGGTCCTTCCTTGTCCATTTGTCTTGGTACCAGTCTCTACAGGCATTCCTCAGAGGATTAAAGTGGCCACAGAATGTGCAAACCAGATATTAGATTTCTAGACACTTATCATAGACCTTGAGATAGTTTAGCAAAGATAATAGAACAATCTAGGGTAAAGATAGAGGGCATGTCCTGGTGAATGAATGGCTATATTTATTTATTTATACACACACACACACACACACATACACACATGTGTGGATATGTACGTATAGAGTTTATACCATTAGAATATGCTCACACCCTGAGTGAGGCTATTTCAAAACAAAAAGACTTGAAGAGAGAAGGCACAGGCAGATAAGACATGTCTGAATTAATAAGCATTTATTAAGCACTTTATGACAGACAATGGTGCTAAGTGATATAAATAGGGATACAAATATAAAAGCAAGGTCATCCCTGCCCTCAAGAAATTTCCTAAAAAAGAATCTCTCTCTCTCTGTATATATACTGTGTGTGTGTGTGTGTGTGTGTGTGTGTGTGTGTGTGTGTGTGAGTGGTGGTCAGGTTACAGATATATACGTGTGTGTAGATATAGATATAGATATAGATATAGATATAGATATAGATATAGATATAGATATAGATATAGATAGATATAGATATAATGTGAGTGGTGATCAGGGAGGGATGTTTTAATCAGGGAAATAACAGAGATGGTGGATAGGAGAATTGATTGGTATGTCTTTTTATCAGTGCTGAGGAAAGAGAGTCCTAAGCAGGACACCAAAATAGGAACATAAAGGGAAAATAGTGATCATGAACCCAAGCCACCACATTTGTGCTATCCCACCACATTATCTCCTTGGTGACTCCTTTCCTCTCCTTGACCTGTTAGTGATACTGTAAAGGGTAGTCTTAGAAAAACCAGAAATGATTGTGATATCTCTCCCACTTAAATACACTAGCTGCACACAGCCCCAGGATGAAGCCCAGGTGCCATTATGTTCTTCTAGGGACAGACTCCTTGCTCTCCTCCTTCTTTCTTGTTTCAATGGCAATGCTTTCTCTACAGTGCTAATGCCTTTATTCTCAAATCACAGGGGGATATTGTAAGATGAGCAAGAGCTTAGATATCAAACTAGACTTTCTCTTCAGAGTCACCAGCATTGCTAAGCTAGATACAAGATCTCTCCCCTCAATACCTTCTACTTTCCTCATCTCAAAGGCCCAGTCCATATTATGGTCTGGTTAGGAAGTCTCAAAACTATGGGAATATAAAACATATATTTGTTGCCCAGAGTGACCTCATTCTGAGGCATCAGACCACATGGAAGATCTCTCAGAACAACACTACTAGAGTAAGGAAGTGACATTCATCCCAGGATTGTGTGCACAGTTATATTACATCCTAAACACCCAACATGTGACTTTTTGACCGAATGTGACTCATCTGACTCTGGGGAGTTGTCAACCTCAATTTTTTATTCTCCAGTTTAAAAAAAAATCTAATTACTTATCACATATGAACTAAACAGCCAGTAGCATCTAATCATGTGAAATTTCTTATTATGTGGCTGAACTCTAGATGATGAGCAGGTCCACCTGACCCATTGTGAAAGTATATTCACTTTCATGAAACTGATAAAATTGATATTCATTCACCTTTAATACATATGGATTACTGATAATATAGCCAACTATTTTTTAAAAAAGAAAACAACCATCAACAGCCTAGTCATATACCATTGTAACTTTAGTTCCATCAACCAATCAACAAATTTTTATTCCATTCCTGCTATGTGCCAGGTGTGATGATGCTATATGCTGGGGATACAGAGACTAGAATGAAACTGTCCCCTGCCCTCAAACCTACAGACTAGTAGGGAGAGACAGCTTAGAGATATGAAGATATAGATAAAATTGGTACTATGTGATGGGAAGGGAAACTATAGAGGGTGAGTAGGGATCAGGAAAGACTTCATGGAGAACATGGTCCTTGAGCTGAGCCTTGAAGGAAGCTAGAAATGCTAAGAGGCAAAGGGGAGGAGGGAGTGCATTCCAGGCATGAGGAACAGCCCATGCAAAGGCACTGAAGTGGAAGCTGACATGTTAGGCATAAGGAACAGTACGGAGGCCAGTCAGTGTGCACGGAAGGGAATAGTGTGTAATAAGTTTGGAAATGTGGGCTAGGACTAAGTTGTGAAGGGCTTGAAATGTCAAAAAGAGGATTTCACATTACAAATAAGCAAGCTCTCCTGGTTAGTCCCCTCTTGGATCGATATCAGCTGTCCAAGAATAATATTTCTCAAGACTTCAGGCACAGCCAGCCTATCAGCTCATAAAAGCTGCCTCTTCTCCTATGCCATTCTCCTACATACACTTTGATTAAGATTCTTAATTTAAGAGTAAAACAAGAAAGCAGCGATGGAGAAAAGCAAGGCTTAAAGGGACAAGATAAATGGTAAATACGCCTAAGGCCACAGCTGCCTCAATATTCAGGAGTTACTCTAACACCTTATCTGTATCCTGGTTGGTGTTTGACTAGTGTGTTTTTCCAAATATGTTTAATACCCTCTGTCTCTTGCTGGCAGGTTCAAAATTTACCAAGACATGTTCCCACCTCGTCTTCAAATTCAAACTTCAGACCCTGAGATACGACAAAGGCAACAGAAAAGGGAAACAAAGATGATTCGCTTACAACTCAAGAAGGTCAGCGAGCAAGATACAGAACTAGGCCTTGTCTCAACCTCAGCGCATCCAGATGTTATCTAGACTCCTGGAGAGGGGAGGGGGGAATCTCTGAATGTAAGGATTGGGCTGCAAAGACACAAGATATGTTCAAAGGAACGGTCTGCCCTGATTCTGCCAGATGTAAGGTGCTAGATCCTCTGAGTGAACACTGAGATACTGAAGAAAGAAGGGCAATCTGTGCCAGTGTGGGTTATGTGTGTAGATTTATTAGGGTTTGGCTGGTTAATTGGGTTGTGTAAGGTAGTTTACTCACAAGAGGCCAGTCATCCTAGGTGGCAAGAGGCCAGAGTGATGGCAGAGTAATTTCAGGTCACGTATTATATAGAAACAACAAAGAAGGCATAGTGCCAGGAATGGCCCAGGGTCATGGGCAAATGCTCCCATGAGATACAGCTTCTTTTGCTGTTCAAGGCAGTTCACATTAACTGTAAGACTTGAGGTCACATTTTCAGGCTCTGGCTCCCACCATCCATAGACTTGCGGATCCCAAGCCCTGAAGAAGCCAGTGGGTCCAATGAGAGGCAGTTTCTTTCCCCTGCACCTCTCCTCTTTTCCTCACTGCCTAGCTGTGTAATCTTGCACAAGTCACTTTATCTCCACAGGACCCAGTTTTTACCATTTATAAAATGGGGGTGGGAGGTGAGAGGGGCAAGAAAAGAAACGACCGCTAATATCCAGCTCAGATATTCTGTGATTAAAGAACTGTTACCCTGTTGCCTTACTCACTGACTTTGTCTGCTCATTTGCTTCCCACTTTCTGCTGCCACTCTCCTAGGCTTGCAGGTTCTGCAGCAGGCTGCCTGTGCTCACAACCCTTCTGTATCTCTCTCTCTCCAGAAAAAGGTATGGATCTACTTGATCGCCATCATTAAAAGCTTCTGCAAATTTCAAAGGGAAATGAAGAAACCAAAAGTCCGCCTCCAATTTGAGGAATTTCTACTTAAGGAAATGAATAATTATAAGGAAAGTAAGTGTCACTGCCCTTCAGAAATCCTCTGGTTGCCAATGGTGACAACTCTTCTCTGCTTAGAGAACCACAGAGAGGTATCTGCAGAGCTTAGTATCAGTCTTCTTTTAAGTATCATAGAATTTGGAGGTGAAAGGGACTTCAGAGGTTACATAGTTCAACCCTTACAAGTTTTACAGGTGAGGAAACTGAGGCCAAGAGACATTAAGTGCCTTGTCCACGGTCAAACAGGAAGAAGAAGCAGAGTTAGGATTCCAGTCTGGGTCTCCAAAGTCAATGAGTGCTCTTGGCATCATAGCACACCAAGCCTGTGACTTCCTAGGAAACAAGACATGGCCTAGTTCTGCTGGGGAGAAAGCTGTAGGACAGTACCAGGTCTGCCTAAATGTTCACCCATTTCACTCTGCAGATACTGTTTTGGGTATGTGGCAAAAAGGTTCTCAGCATTGTTCTCCAAATTAAAAAGTCAGAGCAGAAGAAGGAGTAAGTTAGAGAGCTCCACAAGCCTTTTCTTTTCCAGTCTCCCAAACAGCAGAATTCCTTTTCTTCTCCAGCACCCTCCAGAAGCCCGGTCTGTGTTTCTACTGTAGAAGTTAAAATTCTGGAGCAAGCCTCAGCCTTCCTCCATGGCTTCTGGAAAGGAGCAAAATCATAAACCTCCAGAGCCATGTAACATCTCTTCAGGCGCCTATAGCCTACCACGTGATTCCTACTTCTTAATCTGTAAAACTTGAATCATTTCTTTTTTTTTAATTTAATTTTATTAATTTATTTTGATTTATCAACAATCACTTCCATATGCTTTTGAGTTGAAAATTTTTCTCCCCCTTCCTCCTCCCCACCCTCCCCAAGACGGTGCACAATCTGATATAGGCTTTACATTTACATACCCATTAAGCATATTTTCACATTAGTGAAGTTGTAAGTAAAAATTAAAACCAATAGGAGGAACCATCAGAAAGATGAAACAAAACTCAACAGGAGGTAAAAATAAGTGATAGCAATTCGACTACCATAGTTCTTTCTTTGGATGTGGACAGCATTTTCCATCCCAAGGCCTCTGGAGATGTCTTAGATCCTCGTAATGCTGAGAAGGGTTCAGTTTAACAATCTTAGTCATTGCATTACATGGCTTTTATTGTGTACAAAGTCCTCTTGCTTCTGCTCACTTCACTCAGCAGCAGACCATATAAGTCTTTCCAGGTTTTTCTGAAGTCAGCCTGTTCATCATTTCTTATAGCACAATAGTATTCCATTACATTCATATATCACAACTTGCTCAGCCATTCCCCGATTGATGGGCATCCTCTCAATTTCCAGTTCTTTGCCACCACAAAAAGAGCTTCTGTGAATATTGTTGTACATGTAGGTCCTTTTCCCATTTGTTTGATCTCTTTGGGATATAGCCCTAGAAGTGGTATTGCTGGATCAAAGGGTATGCACATTTTTGTAGCCCTTTGGGCATAGTTCCAAATTGTTCTCCAAAATGTTTGGATCATTTCACAACTCCACCAACAATGTATTAGTGTTCCAATTTTTCCACATCTTCTCCAACGTTTATCATTTTCCTGTTTTGTCATGTTGGCCAATCTGATAGGTGTGATGTGGTACCTCAGAGTTGTTTTGATTTGTATTTCTCTAATCAATAACGATTTAGAGCATTTTTTCATATGACTATAGATGGCTTTAATTTCTTCATCTGAGAACTGTCTGTTCATATCCTTTGACCATTTATCAATTGGGGAATGGCTTGTGTTCTTATAAATTTGTCTTAATTCTCTATATATTTTAGAAATGAGGCCTTTATCAGAGAGACTGGTTGTAAAAATTCTTTCCCAATTTTCTACCTTCCTTCTAATTTTAGTTGCATTGGCTTTGTTTGTACAAAAACTTTTCAATTTAATGTAATCAAAATTATCCATTTTGCTTTTCATAATGTTCTCTATCTCCTATTTGGTCATGAATTCTTCTGTTCTCCATAGATCTGATAGGTAAACTATTCCTTGTTCTCCCAGTTTACTTATGGTATCAGCTTTTATATCTAAGTCATGAACCCATTTTGACTTTATTTTGGTGTGAGATTTGGGTCTATGCCTAGTTTCTGCCATACTCTTTTCCAGTTTTCCCAGCAGTTTTTTTCAAAGAGTGGGTTCTCATCCCAGAAGCTGGGGTCTTTGGGTTTATCAAATAATAGATTACTATAGTCATTGACTACTGTGTCTTGCATATTTAACCTATTCCACTGATCCACCTCCCTATTTCTTAGCCAGTACCAAGCAGTTTTGATGATTGCTGCTTTATAATACAATTTAAGATCTGGAATTGCTGTGCCACCTTCCCCTGCATTTCTTTTCATTAGTTCCTTTGATATTCTGGACCTTTTGTTTTTCCAAATGAATCTTGTTATTATTTTTTCTAACTCTATAAAATAATTTCTTGGTAGTTTGATTGGTATGGCACTGAATAAATAAATTAACTTAGGTAGGATTGTCATTTTTATTATATTAGCTCAGCCTATCCATGAGTAACTAATGTTTTTCCAATTATTTAGATCTGATTTTATTTGTGTGAAAAGTGTTTTGTAATTGTGTTCAGAGAGTTCCTGGGTTTTTTTCGGGAGGTAGACTCCTAAACATTTTATAATGTCTACAGTAAGTTTAAATGGGATTTCTCTTTCTATCTCTTGCTGTTGGGCTTTGTTGGTAATATATAGAAATGCTGATGATTTATGTGGGTTTATTTTATAGCCTGCAACTTTGCTAAAGTTGTTTATTATTTCAAGTAGTTTTTTACTTGATTCTCTAGGATTCTCTAAGTATATCATCATGTCATCTGCAAAGAGTGATAGCTTTGTTTCTTCTTTGCCTATTCTAATGCCTTCAATTTCTTTTTCTTCTCACTTGAATCATTTCTTCCGAATTACATTCATTCATTCATTCATCAAGCACATATACTATTTATGTGCAATGCACAAATGACAAAAATTCTAGATAAAATGAAGCAGCCCCTGTCCTCAAGGAGCTTATATTCTTCTGGGAGCAAGCACAATGTACAGAGATAAGTGATTACATGTTGATGTGGATCAGAAAGGGTTCTGGACTTGGAATACATTAAGTTACAAATTCAAATTTTGCTTTCTTGTTACTACAAGAAAGTCTCTGAGCTTCAGTTTTCTCATCTGCAAAATGAGAATAATAACCCCTGTAGTACCTACAGTGGTGGGGGCAGGGACCATTGTGGGGACAGTGAGAGGATGTGTGGAAAGTACTTTGCAAACCTTATAGCACTATAAAAATGTCTGCTCTTATTAAGGAGAGGATGAAGCTTGGAACAACCTTTTGGGGTAAAAAATATCCAAAATAAATATCTCTGCCTTCCCTTAATCATGCTTTTCTCCTTTCTTATTATCTCATTTCCTACTTGTATTTCCTGCTATACTCTATTCAACAATAATAACAGTAATCATAATAGTATTTATAGGGCATTTTAAGCTTTACAAAGCACATTACAAATATTTTCTCACTCTCAACAATCCTAGGAGGTAGATGCTACTATTATTCCCCATTTTACAGATGAGGAAACTGAATCCAACAAAGATTAAGATATTACCCAGGGTCACACAGCTAGTGAGTGTCTTGAGACAGGATTCAAACTCTGGTCTTCCTAAGGACAAGTCTAGCACTGTATCCACTACACCACCTAGTTGACAGGAAGTCACATGTCTCATGCCCAAGATAGATTGTCTTCTTGTAACTTTAATAGAAGAATTAGCACAGCTAATTTTTAAAAAGTTTTATTGATGCTTTGTGTGTGTTTTAAAATTAGACATATACTCTCTTGTCACAAAGAAAACAGTGAAACAAAATCAACACAGTGACTTGATGTGACAGCATATGCCACCCTCATCATCCCCTATATATATGTGTGTGTGTGTATATATATAATGTATGTAATTATTAAGTAATATGATATATTATTAATTCCATATTATATGTGTGCTTATTAATAATAAATTATTCTTATTATAGTCATAGTGTCAGAGGCAGTGTGGTTTAGTGAGCAAGAATATTGGACTTTAAATCAGGAAGATCTGGATCCAAATCCTGACTATTGCTTATTGGCTATGTGATCATATGTAAATCACATAACCTTTCAAAGCCTTAGTTTCTTCATCTACAAAATGGAAATAGCAATACCTCTAGTACCCACCTCAATGAGGTTGTTAGAAGGATACAATGAGATAACATATGTAAAATACTCTGCAAACTTTAAATCAATGTCAATCATTCTTCTCAATTACATGCTGATGGCTCTAGCTTCAGCTAAAACATTCATGATTCATATACAATCTGAGGAGAGAGGAAATTATGGGGTAGAGTGTAGTTGTGCCATTAATCCAAAGACTTACCTTGGGCTGACTAACTTGTCAGCTATTTGTGTCCAAAGGGTTAAATCCTGAGTTAAAAGAGTGGCTACCCAATAGACCCAAGTTCTGGGTCCTCTACAGTAGTGGTGTCAAGCTCAAGTAGAAATGGGGACCAGCAAACCATTCACAAGGATCCCTGTTGGCCACATATTGACCAAGAAAACCACTATCTATCTATGTTTTATGGTATTTTTATTTATTTTATTAAATATTTCCCAATTACATTTGAACTGGTTCAGTCCTGACTCAGGAGTGCTGTGGGCCACATAGTGTTTGACATCTTCACTTTAGAGTTTCTCCCTTGACTTTAGATGCTTATTATGGGCTCCAGGCTCATGAAAGCCTTGGGCAAAGAGATGTTAACTTCTCTCTCTCTCTCTCTCTCTCTCTCTCTCTCTCTCTCTCTCTCTCTGTGTGTGTGTGTGTGTGTGTGTGTGTATTTGTCTTTCAGATATAGTTGCATCAGGGTCATTCAGAAACACAACCGCAACCACAAGCACTTGTGTCCTCCAAAAGTCGGGCTTAGATATTGACATGGAAGATTTTGTACTTGTAAAGCGCCGTATATTTGGCCATAAGATAATCATCATCAACTTTCTGGTCAATGACTTAAGTTATTTTATTGAAATAGGAAAGTAAGTTGACACCACTACCTTCTTTCTTCTTGTACTCCCTCATTACTCATACCTTTCCTCTGGGACAGGGTTTTCCTAGACCTAGCAAAATGGGTTGGCTTTCCATGTGGTAGAATTTGAGGGATTGCCAGATTGGCTCTCTGCTCAAAAACATCTCCTTCAGTGCCCATCGTAACTCCTGACATTTTCATTATTAGAGATTCATTCTTTGGGATGTAAAGGTTTTTCGATCTTCAAGGGTAGGCTTTTGTTGTCATTGAGTTGTTTCAGTGGTGTCTGACTCTATGACCCCATTTGGGATGTTGTTGGCAGATGCTGGAGTGGTTTGTCATTGCCTTCTCCAGCTCATTTTACAGATGGGAAAACTCTTGGCAAATTTTCTAGGGATACAATGTACTAAGGAAGAATATTTAGGGACTACCCCTGTAGAGTGTGACATCATAAGACGATTGTTAGCCAGTGGGCATAGTGCATAAGCTGACCTTGGAGTCAAAAAGTCCGAAGTTTGTATCCTACTTCATATATGTACTATCAGTGCAACTTTTTGAGCTTATCTGAGCCAAGGTTTCTACGTCTATAAGTGGGAATAACAATAGCACCCATCTCCCAGTGTCATTGTGAAGATCAAGTAAGATAATATATTAAAACACTTTGCAAACCTTAAAGTGAAATGTTTATTATCATCATCGTCGTTATTATTCTGCTATGAGCCATAGGTGGTTATAGCTAGAATTAGAAGGCATCTAGTCCAATCTTCTAGAGTAGCTAGGTGGTTCAGTGGATAGAGAACTGAGCCTGGAGTCAAGAAGACCTGAGTTCAAATCTGGCCTCAGACACTTACAAACTGTGTGACCCTGGGCAAGCCACTAAACCCCATGTAACCCCCATTTCCTCATTTATAAAATGAGCTGGAGAAGAAAATGGCAAACTACTCCTGTGCTTTTGCCTAGAAAAGCACAAATGGGGTCACAAAAGATCAGACGTGACTAAAAAACAACTGAACAACAATCCATGTTATGGTTGAAGAGACTGAAGTCCAGAGAGAGAAATGACTTGGTCAAGGTCATACAGCTAATAAGTGGGAAAGCTTGAGCTTAAGCATAGATATTCTGGTTCCAAGTTGAGTTTTCTTTCCACCATACCTTAATGCAAGAGACCACCTGTACAAACCTTGGAAAAGTCAATAAATACTTCAAACTTTTTACATCATGGAACACAAAAGCTATAATTGACCTTCTGGTCCAAACCCTTCATCCAAGAGGAGGGCTGGGAAGGCCCTCCTAAACCCAAAAAGTGCCCCTTCCCACTGTTCATTGTTGCATGAAAATTCATCGAACAGGGAACCCCACCTTCCACTCCACTGTTATAAAGTATAGGATTCAAATAACCCCAGGAAAGGTAACATTTTGACTTAAAGCTAATTCACAGCAAGTTAGAAATGATATCTGAGGAATAGCAGATCCCTTTAGGGGAAGAGATTTTGGTATGGGAGAGAAGAAGACAGCAAACGGATGTGGAGCTTCTGGAGGGGGTGGGTGAGGATAAAACTGAGGGTCTACAGAAGGACACAGTAAAGGGGAGACTCGGATTCCTGACAATGAACTGTCCTGACTTTCCAGTTTTGCTAACAGTTAATCCAAAGGGGAGAGTCCATCTTTAGGCCAAAAGAGAAAGCTTGGGCCTGGTGTCTTCTGCCTCCAGTGACCCAACTTTGTCTTTCTTGGTATCCCACTCAACACTATTTCAGATTCAATGACCTGGTTGCTTCAGCCTTAGTACTGCAAGTTAACAAGATCTTCAATGAAAATGATATTGCGCTGATGAAAGCCAAGGCAAATATTATCTACAAACTCTTCCTTGCATCTGAAATTCCTCCAAAACTACGGGTAAGAGGGGACCTAAGCTCAACTCTGGTCTGGTTGGCTTCCAGTCTCAAAGCTTCTGATGGCAGAAAAGAAAGAGCCACTAGAGGAAGCAGAGTAGCACTTTCTTGCTTAGGAATGGGCATCAGACTATGACTCACTCAGCAATGACATAAATTTCCTTCTCTTTGGGTAGGTGAATATTTCTGAAAACATGAAGGACGCCATCTACAATGCAGTTACAGATGGGCACCTGGATCGCACCACTTTCTATAGTTCTCTCATGACAATTTTCCCTATTATTATGCACTTCTGGAAAAAGTAAGTATCTGCTTTAGTGCCATAAAGCTAGAATGGAACCAAATTTAACTCCCTCATTTTAAAGATGGGAAAACTGAGAACAAGAGAGGGGAAGAGACTTGTCTAAGGTCACAAGTCAAGTCAGAGACAGCATCAAGACTGAAATCAGTCTCCTGATGCTTAGTTTGAGGTTTTGTTTTATGGGTTTTTTTGGATTTTTTTTTTTTACTGTCTCATAGGATGGTTATAAGCCAGGCAATCTTCATCACCATTTTTTTTTGTTTGATAAGTGTTTTATCTCTTTTTAGTTCTCCTTTTTGGATGTTCCTATCTTATACCTGGGGCAGCTAGGTGGCACCATAGTGTGTAGAGTACCAGGCCTCGAGTCAGGAAGACTCATCTTCCTGAGTTCAAATCTGGCTTCAGGCACTTACTAGCTAGGTGACCCTGGAGAAGTCATTTAACTCTGTTTGCCTCAGTTTCCTCATCTATAAATTGAGCTGCAGAAGAAAGTGGCAAACCATTCTAGTATCTTTGCTAAGAAAACCCCAAATGGGGTCACAGAGTTAGACACAACTGTAATGACTGAACAACAACAGCAAAAAAATCTTACATTTGAAGAAATTTCTTTACTTTTCATCCCATTCTCTTTATGCTTGTCATTGCCCTATTCTAAACACTGACAAATAAATAAATAAATGAGAGAGTGAGACAGAGAGAGACAGAGAGTATATGGGCTAGTGATCATGGCCCTACACTATAAGTAAGGAGGTGTGATTTTTTTTTGCCTCAGTTTGAATGAATGAAAAAGCATTCATTAAGTGCTTATGATGTGTCAAGTGATATGCTAAGTGCTGGAGATACAAAATGGGAAACTGAGACAATTTATCTTTCAAGGAATTCAGACTCTAGTTGGGGAAGACAACACATAAAAGAAAATTCAACTTCAGGGCAGATGTCAAGGCCCAGGCATCTTTCAGCTACAACAGTAGATTAAATGACAATTGACAGGACGTAGAGGCAAGGCAGAGAGTAAGATCTGAAGAAAGGAAAGAAGCAAGCATTCATTAATCTACTACTGTATATCACACCCTGTTCTAAGCATTTTACAATTATCGTCTCACTTGATCCTCAAAATAACCATAGAAGGTAGATACTATTATTATCATGTCCATTTTGCATTTGAAGAAATTGAGGTAGACAGAAGTTAAGTAATTTACCCAGAGTCACACATCTAGTCTCAGGCCAAGTTTCAACTCAAGTCTTTTCAACTCCAGACCCAATGCTCTATCCACTGCACCATCTAGCTAAAAAACCTTAGGACACAGTGGCCAGTCCAACAGTAAGGATTAGAGATCCTCCATCTCACTGAAAGAAATAGAATCGATGACTTCCTCTTATTCAAGCCCGAGAACAGTCAAATAGTACATGTGAATTCTCAGGCAGCCTGGGGTGAGGGAAAGGGGGCAACATATTTGTCGGAACAAGCTCATGAACACCGCTAAATCTCATTTTCTTCTACTGTAGGATAAATGAGGATAGCAATATTTTCTCAGAACAGAAATAGTATCAAGCACTTATAAAAATGTGATTGTTTATAGTTTGCCTTTCTTCTTTTCAGAAAGACTCATTTATTATTGTCTTGTCTGAGAGACTTGCACTCTTACTTTTTAAAATTTACTTGAAGCAAAATAGATTCTTCTCCAATCCCTCATTTTAACCCTCCGAGCCTTTGTTTTCAAGTATGTGTTCCTTTCTAATATACTTTTAGCCTCCTTTGTTTTATGGGTGGATTCGTGAGATATTCGTATTCACTATTATGACTGTTAATTATGTATTTACCTGAATGTATTTACCTCTTCCACTTTTTCTTTATTTCCACCTCTCTTCTTTACAAAGAAGTAGAAGGAGAAAGAGAAACTTTTTGATCACTACTCATAATCTGTCATTGAAAAGGTCTATTCCTACTCTTTTGCCTCCTCTGTCTTCAAGGTCAGACCTTCACCTCTGGTTCTTAGACTTTTTAATCTCCTTTTTATGACCAGTCCTCAAAGTTAAAGTTTATTTTGTTTGTGACTACTCTCTGCTTCAATCTGCTCCTCTTCTTAACGTTGCCTTTCATTTTCCTGTGCCCATCTTTATCTCTATTGAGTTAAGTTGATATTGCTATACCAAACTCTGTGTGTTAGCCTGGTTCAGATAATAGTGACGAATGGATGCCTACTCTCCTTTTGGAAAATCATAGTCCAAGATTTTTTCTATTTTGTTATAGTTTGCTGCCAAGTCTTGTGCATTCCTGAATTGTAATTCCTTGATACCTGAACTTTGTCCTTTTGGAAGTTTCTGGTATTTTTTTCTTTGACACAGAAGCTCTGGGTTTTGACTGTGACATTCCTGTACGCTTTCAGTTTGGGGTTTCTTTCAGGAGGTAAACAAAGGACTCTCCTAATTCTTCACTTCTTGAAATATGTTCCTCAGGAGGTTTTTGTTTGCTTGTTTCTTTGTTTGATTGAACGAGATAGCAGATGTAAAGTATCTTAGAAAACTTAAAGGGCTATTTAAATTCCATCCATCTATCTATCTTAATTATTATTATTATTATTAGCCATTATGATCATGGTTTATAGGGAGTCTAATGATTCTTACCTTATCCTTGACTTGTTTTCCAAGTCAGTTATTTTTTATAGTAAATATCTTATATTTTCTCTTTTTGAAATAAGATATATAATATAATAATAATAATAATAGCTATAATTTACATAGTGCTTTAAGATTCACAGAGTGATTCACAAATGTTTAGTCAAACATTTTCTCTTGCCTTGTGGAGCCATTGAATTCTTTTTGTTCTGTTTTGTTTTATTTTTTTGATGTCTCTACTACTTCAGTAAGGTTCCACTTCTGTTCTAAACTGTTATTCTACTTTTACTTTTTTTCTTTCTGAGCTTTAATTTCATGTCTAATTTCATCTTTTATTTCTTGCTTCATTTTCCAGCTACTCTTATAGACCTTGTGCCCAAATCATTTTTCTTCTCTGAGGTTCACCTTATATTTGTGAGATTATTCTCTTCCTCTGGATTTATCTCTTAGGCTTCTCTTAACCCATAGTATTTCTTCATTGTGTTTTGTCTTTTCTTCTTTTACTATTTTCAGGCTCAGTTCTTGGTTTGGGATTTTGAACACAGGTCAGTCCACTCCAGATAGGGTCAGCTCTGTTTGATTCTTCAACTGCTGATGCATATTCAGTTTGGGTGACTGTATTTAGATCCTACTCTCTAACTCAATTTCAAGATTCTGTCTAAGTCTCCTGATAGTCCACTGTAGGTTCTGGCTTGAGGAAATTAAACTGATTCTCTAACATTTTATAATCAATTGTATTCTATAATTGATCCATTTCTGTATTACTGCCCCATTTTGAATGATTGTTCAAGCCACATTTCTTTGTCTTTTTATCTATGAGCTAAGTTTACAAGTTAATCCTTCTCGTCTGAGTTAAGTTAAAGTCATAATTAAAGAGAAAAACTGTTATCTGCTATTCCTGTAGTTCCTGAGAAAATTCTAGGACATATGTTTGCTATCTTTAAAGGCCTACAGTCTGGCCTAGTATATTTCCACAAGATATATTATCCATCCTTGCATGTCCTTGTCCAATTAAGGAGGGTCTTATCCCCCTCTTAGGAGCTAGGCAGTCTACTATCCCTGGTCCACGAACAACATCCTCAAGATGCTGATGGGTCCCACAAATCAATCAAGCATTCCTTAATGACAGAAATAGGTGATTGCTAGCCCCATGCAGTTGCTAGCTCACTTTCTTTGATGTAACCAATCATGTTGTCTTCACCACCATGAAGCTATCAGCCCTATAACCTTTCACATTGTCTTCCCCACCTACCCACTTCTGTTCCTTGTTCTATGTTTATGAAAAGGAGCTGTGCATCCTACTCTGGGTCATTGGCCTAACTGAGGTAGCCACTGGACCCACTTTATTATCAGATTCATACCCTGCTAATACACTGATAAAGTTCAAAACTCCGTACCCCAATTTACCTTTATTAAATCCTATTGAGACAATTAGGGGCTACCTAGGATTAGGGGAGAAAGGTTGGTCCCCAAAATAGCTTGTCAAGGGAACCCGCCTTTCTTTGGGCACTCCCTGGTGAAGTTTTTTTTAACTGAAGTGAGGTTTCTCTTACAGAATTAAAGACCTGACTCTCCTCGTGACCTCAGATTCCCAAGCAATTCCTTCTGAGCTTAAGGGAAGCACTGTGTTGAGAAAAGCCGCAGCTTTTTGTCTGTTTATGTCTGTCTTTGGGATGCTATTTATGCTCACTGTGAGCATTTAGAAATAATTGGCAATGTAAAGGCCCAGAAAAATCCTTATAGGTACTTCTAAAACAGTGGGAAACTTTGATTCTCCAAAAAAAGCACTTAGGTCAAAGGCAGGTGAAGGTCTAAAGCAGGCCTGCACAATACACAGCCTGTGAGATTTCAGGAAGCCCACAAAAAATGTAGAGGATATGAAAGAAAGTAAAGACATGAGGAGTGCTTTGTCTGTGCCCGGCCTAACCTGCCTTCTACTAGTCACTACTGAGCCCATCATGTAGCATGGCAGGTGGGTTCCTGTTTGTCATGTGACCATGCAGCAGCCAGCTGTCTGCCATCTGTCTCTAGTCTGAGAGGAGTGAATCATATCTTTTCACTGTGTTTTTGATCATTACTAAATGTAAAAACAATAAGAAAACTTGGAAAAATATATTAAAACTTGTACTGCCTAGAAAAGTAATTTTTAAACATTAATATGATGTTATGATAAAAATCTTAAGTAATAAGTATAATTAATTGATATTAATTGACATTTCTCTTTTTTAAATATGGTTTATTTGCAAAATAGTTTAATCATTAATTATGCCTTTACTTGGAAAGTGAACCGTTAAAAACCTATCTGCAGCCCAAAGAAGGTTAGCCTTTTTAATTTTGGCCCTTAGCTACTGCCAAGTTGTGTGGGTCTGGTCTAAGGCCTCGGT